ACACACACACACACACACACACACACCCATACACACACCACACACACACACAAGGTGGTGTACATTCGAGCAACTTTCACATGATGCACCTTGGATAACGCTAATGCCGTCGGTACTTTAACTTTAAAGACTCATAACTTTGCAAGTATTCATTAAAAAATGGCTTGTAACTAGTGTTTCAAAAACGCCTCGATGTCAGCTACAAAAATGTGCGATAAAAAATAGTGGATTTTATTTTAAAAAATCAATGTGATTTTGACGTTATTCAAGGTCAACTTGTTAACATCGCTAAATACATCACTGTATACTTTGCAACTTTTGTCTCAAACATTGTTTTTAAAACTGTGTACTTTTCGAAAAATTTAGCCAGTCCGGATCATACGAAACACCTTAGGTGTCTCATATTAAGTGCGCCAGGTAAATATCTCGAAAAATATGAGAAATACAAAAACACACGTTTCAGAAGTTATTAGGTAATGCTGATCTAACATTTGATCTGAAAAATATCTTTCCATTTGTGCCAAAGTTACTTTCGAAATTTTTACATAAGAACTCGTATGTTTGTAGTTGACGTTGAAAAGTTTTCGAAACACTATCTACTTATTTCTTTTGCACAAGCCAATCTCAAAATTGAAATCTTCAAAATTAATCTAATTTTGGTTATATAGCGTAACAATAAATATAAAATAAAAAAATATTTTGAGTCTCGATTAATATAATTTCTAAGCTTACATCATCCAGAATCGTTTTAACAGCTTCTTTAGTACGACCAGACACAATTACAAGTCTAGGTAATTCGTCTAGTTTTTTGATCTTATTTTTCGGATTTGATTTTAATAATACATGACAGTTTGCGCCACCGAATCCAAAAGAATTTACACCTGCGTATCCGCCATTCCATGGTGTAAGTTCATTAACAATCTTTATTCTACCTTCAATTACAGCAGTAAGATCGTTTCGCGGTGATTTAAAGTGCAGAGTTGCTGGAATTTTACCAGTTTCCATTGCTATCAGTACCTGTAAAATTTACAATTATATGTACTATTATTACGTTACAACAGAGTTTCCCTTGACTCAACTTTTCAGAATCGAATTGTTTCTATGACTTTTGTCAGATGTTACTTTCACTCTTTGTTGAATTTCTACAAATTGCGCATCATTGCATATACTGTATATCAAGGTTGGGTAAGTTAAATTTTTTTTTTATTTAAGTTAAGTTACAGTTAAAGGTCTTAAAAATTTTATTTAGTTAAGATATAAGTTAATCCATAATGAAATTAATTGATTAAAAGTTAAGTTAAGAAAAAAAATAATTAACAAGTTAAAAGTTAAATTTTTTTTCATGATTTTAGTGTTTTAGTCTTACAAATAATTACAAACATTTACAGTGTTTTAATCTTACATATAATGGAAAAAATAAATGTACACTTTATTTAGAAATAT